ACACTAACACCAATTATAGCCCTAGGCAAGAGCTATAAGTTAATATTTTTAAAAGAAATAAAAATAAAATATACCATACTTTTTTTTGCTTTGAATGCGTACGAATGTCGCGTGCGACACCATGGAAATGCCCATATGATAAAGTTGTCCGATTATAATGAAATTTATACAAAAATTCTAAAATAATAAAAAAAAGCTTATATATTAGAGTAGATAATAATACGTTGAAAAACAACGAAGTTATAATTTTATTTCTATTAATTTCCCGATCGTTCCTAGAATAATATAAAAAGCTTATATTTCAGAGTAGATAAAAATAGGTTGAAAAACAACCCTATCGTTCCTATGGCAGCTATATCATATAGTCGTCCGATTTTCGTAAAATTTCACCAACATTCAAAAATAATATAAAAGGCCATTTTTAAAAAATTGTGTAAAAATGTTGAAAAACAGCAAAGTTATAATTATTTTTCTAAAAATTTATCGAACATTTGTATGGCAGCTATATGATATAGTCGTCCGATCCGGCCCGTTCCGACATATATAGCAGTGAGAGCATATAGAAGGCTATATGCAAAGTTTCAGTCAGATAGCTTTAAAACTGAGGGACTAGTTTGCGTAGAAACGGACAGACGGACGGACAGACGGACAGACGGACGGACTCCTTTACTGCGTTGCAAACTTCTGACTGAAATTATAATACCCTGCAAGGGTATAAAAAAATGGCGGCGATTCAAAATTTTTTTTTCGTTTTCGTGAAAATTTTCTTCACTTTTTTGTTGATTAAAAATCCAATGTATAAGCTATCAATATAATTGTAGTCTATTCCTTGGACAGCTTCATTACGCGTATTTAAAAAAAAAACATTAAGATTCGTTAAAAATTGACTGAGATAGGACAGTCGCCAGCTCGAAAATTGTAGTTTTCCAGAAAACGCGTTTAAAGTTTTATGTTTGCTTGGTACCTCCTATAAGACGGCCGGCTTGGAGGCTTATAACTTTTAAACTATTACGTATTTCGAGTTGCCGTTTTAGTATGATATTCTAGACACTTATAACCATCAAAAAATGCAAAAAAAATATATTAGATTTTTTTTTTCAACTAACCAGAATGGACCCTTAAGCATTCATTTTTTCCCGGAGTTTGGCAAAAATCGTATATCATTCCCCTTCACGAAAAAGGTAGTTGATCCAATATTAAAAACTATAGAAGGATAACAAAACTTAGTACGATTCCAAAATTTTTGAATTTTTAATTCAGCACCAATGCTGCTCAATAATGACCCCCTACAGATCAGCATCTACAAACCTTATCCATTTTTTGCAATTAGACGTTATGTGTGCAGATTTTAGCAATCGATTCGGTGAACCATCAGTTGCTGTTGAAAAATCGTTTATCTTTGGGTTTCCCGGTCACATTGACCAAGTGGAATTACCAACAACTTCAGCTTCACCGAACTCATCAGAATAATGGTTTGAAAAGCAAAATGTGCTTTTGTCTTTATTAAACGGTGGTCTAACAAAAATTAATGATCCCTACACTACAAAACTCTTGTATATCTCTCTGGTTCGCCCTATAGGTCCCCTCAATATGCAAACTATCAGGACTTTATTGAATCGGTACACAAGCAATTCCTTTTCTTTGCTCTTCGGGGCTTAAATTGGGACCCACTTTGTAGTCGGTAGACTACGCCTTTTGATCTTGCCCTCGTCGGACCAGCCACGGCATGATGTTCCTTCATAAACTAATAAATGGACATATTTTTTCCAGTCAGCTTCTGAGTCAAATACGTTTCTCAGTTACTCCAAGGCCATCACGTTATTTTCGGCCAATAGCTTTGCATATTTGTAAAACGTTGAAACTTCCCTGGCACCTGTTGAGTGTTTTTTTTTTTAGGTTGACTGGAGTGAATTTTTCATACCTGTTCATATAGCTTCGTATAGGAAACGCTCTTGGTGGTTTTTAGCGGACCAAAAGAGGATCTGGTGAAAAATACTGCAGTCGTAGTTTTGGCGCGTAGCTGTCGCTAGTCGCACGCGACTCTTGTACACCACTATAGTTTGCCGTGTGGTTTCCTCCGCAGTTTCCACATTTTTCGTGTGGGGGTCTTCTTTGTTAACAGGGCAGTGCGCGAAATTATGGAAATCTCAACTAGATCGGGTGCACTTTATTTTACTTTACTGTCTTCCACAAGCTCGACCTTGAAGAGTGGTTACGGCTTTTTGTTTCTGTTGATGTTTATGTTGCTAGTATTGGCAAAAAAAACTCGTGTTTAAGGGGTGTGTTACAAAAAAAAAAATGGATTTTAACCCACGACTTTCATCAGCATCGTGTAGAACAGCATGGTTTGCATTTTTTAAGGGTTTATATTAAAATTATTCTATTCCCGTTTGTTAACTTTATTATATTTATATACTTTATTAACACTCCAGTGTTTATTATCTGATTATATTCAAACTCGCACTTAAAAAATGACTGCACCGGTCTTATTATTCTATACAAGTTTTTTCTTTTTGCTGAACTTCAATGAGCTTTAAGTTACAGAATTTTGGCCGAATTTGATTTTTCTAAGTAATTTATTCCCTTTAATGTTACTATTAATCACTACAAATGTGACAACATAAATTTTTTTGTGTATATTCTAAGTCTCATGTTACCTTAATCTACTCTCGTGGTGGTATGTTTTTATTTTCGTTGAAATCAGACATTTTTGGTTTAAAATTTACATCGTACAAATGAAAAACAATTTTGCATCGGTTAAAAAAAAAATATATTGTTTTGTGATTTTAAAGTTTATTGGATTTGTGCGTAAGTCTTCAATGACTTAACATCTACATTTATATACATACATACATATAGTAAATGTAAAAAGTCAAATGTATGGGCTCATAGCTAAAAATTGTAATGCTTAATATTTTAAAGAAAACAAATTTGTATATGTTACAAATTATAAATTGAGTAATATCAAGGACTATAAAGTCTTAAGTTGCTATCGAAATCGTGCCATTAACAATAAAATAAAAAAATTTATAACATCAAACCAGTGGGAAAAAAGTATAACAGCTCGAACTTTTTGAAATACTTCAAATATTTGAAAGGCATCTTAGACACTGATTTGAGTTAGACAGATGACAGGAAACATGAACGTTCTCTAAAAAAAGCCGAAATCCTGTACATTAAATTATTTTTTATTTTGACCCGCCTGAATCGGTTGAATTTTCAGAAGTGCAAGTATTGACAACATTTTTCTAAAGCGATACCTTTTGGTTGTTATATCGCTTTTGATGATCTGACAATTCAAAACTGATTTTTCATTCTGTTTTTTTATATAGGTAGTTGCCCTGAGTTCACTCTTGGTGGTCATTGTACATAGTGATAATGGATTTGTTAGATTTGAAAGCTTTAAATTTCTATCTTTCGGAATATCTATACTGCTGTCTCTAAATAAAATTTTCGTAGTCTCGAGTCAGTATTGTTTTGGCTAATAGTCTGTATACACACATATGTATCTTATAGGCAAATTCTATTGCTTTGACTGAGAGTTTTTTACTTATGAAAGAAATGAGAATTATGAGAAAAATAAGAATTATAAGAAACATTTGAGGTCTGGAGAATACAAGTTTGTTAAAATGAATTCAGCTTTAATGTAATGCGTGAACTACAACCTAAAGCCGAACAAGTTTAATTGGATACGTTTGTGAGTCCCAGTAAAAAACTTATTTGAAATGCTTATTAAATGAAGCTTATTTTACTGAAACTTTTGCATTATTTGGTTACATGGCGAAAGCAGCTAATTCGGCTTTGTGTACATATTTTTGGGAACGACTTTCATCAAAGTGGCAACAAAAGCGGTCATTTGAGGAGAATCTTACGAAATTTTGTTATGTCCATATAGTAGCTGAATCTCCATGCCGAATTGGCAATTATTTGGGTTATATTTTTTGTATGACCTTTTTTTTTGTTTGTGAAAAAATATGAATCATATCAAATTCTATTTGCAACAACAAGTTTTCATTGAAACAGTCTGTCTGACGGACCTATGTATATGGTTAGAGATTTAATATAAAGACTTGGATTGACGTATGAAGATATACGTTGCAAATATTTGATTTTAATATAGAACATATAATATATATCTTTATTAATAATATAAATAAAGAAACTTTTGAAGAATATGGGTTGATCACATCGATTGTCTTGTTTCATGCTTAGGATTATCTTATAGTAAAACTTTAAAATATATAAGCCCGTATCTATTTTACCAACTCAACCTTTGTTTTGTTGCTAAGTTTTTAGCCTCAAACGTGCTCTCTATACTTACTTCACTTTACAAATTGATTATATGTATGTGCCGTGTTTTGTCTTAAATATCACACACTACGCGTTGCACAGACAACTTATCAGCCTTATACAAAATCAATTCAACATATAAATCAGTACCGTGCAGTGCACAATATAAGTATGAAAGAGCCATAAAATATATCGTTTTTTCAAAGTCTTTTTAAATGTAGAAATAAAATAGTATAACGCATATATTTTCTAAAATTTTTATTTTAATAATTCTATAAACTTTTTATAACATATATATAATATAATATTTTGTGGTCATATTTAAAGTGTAGTGTTACAGCACTCCTATCACATACAAAATAAAAAATTTAATGGGATTTTACAGTCAAGTGTGTAATTTTTATCATTCAAAATCCAATTGTCTTAAATAAAATTAAACTACAACATGCAAAAAAGTATATGCATTTAGTTTAATTATTCTATTATATTGAATACGATACTCAAGCCGAATTAAAGTTTCTCTTGCAAAAACCTTTTAGGTAGCCAATACATAATACATACTGTAGAAAACAATAAAATTGCATGTACTATAAACTTAAAATAAATAATAATCATGCATAAATTATTTAATATATATAAGGAGCTATTTAATTTTATAAAAAAGAAAGCATTTCCAAACCACTAAAATTTTAGTAAAATTTGAGTAGCACCTTAAAACCATCATATGTCCAACTTCCTAATTTTAAGATGCAGGTCTGTACGTCATACGGAAAATATTCAACGTCGATGGAACAAGAGGATTTATACACGGCAGGTGGTTGCCAAATCACCAGTCCATTACTATAGACTATTGCTTTTGTCATAAGTGTCACTTCATAGTGACCATCAGCACTGAAAAATATATATTTTATCACAACTCCTGTTACCATTTCAAAAACGCCAATATATTAAAGTGCAGACGTTTCTGCGGTTAACTTAAAAAAAAATTAAATAGTCTTACTTATATATATTTCAGTAAATGATTTTTTTTCCGTTTTTAATACTTATTCTTTACCTTTTTTTATACATCTATTCTTATTTTTAAAAATTATTTACATACCATACGAATATTTTAAAGCAAAAATATATCGTTTGATTTTAAATGGGTGATCGTGCTGACATTTACTATTTTGACTGTCTCTATTACTGTAAGGATGATGAAGAAATGCATTTGTCTCAATAGTGTAAATTATATGTATGTGTTTAGATTATACTTTTATTTGTATTTTTTATTATTACAAGCGGACCCGGCGAACGTCTCGTCTCGTCCCAATTTAACGCATTGAAAAAACTCCAGTTCGAAAAAAAAGTATTTTAATGATTATTTATTGATGCTTTGCGTTAGCTGTCAAAGGCATCGGACGTGTTTTCGGCTATTAAAAAAGAAAAAGGGAAAATTACAAAAAAAATAAATAAATTTCTCATGTTTTCGTGAAGTGCAAACGCATTTTTGCTTCGCTGCGAACTTCATTGTGAAGAATCTATGGACAAGTCCACCTCTGTGGCAAAAGCTATTGCTTTTCCAAATCCGACCTCTAAGGTCGTGGTGTCAGTGCCCTTACTTTCCGTTGTTTGTTCCAATCGCGAAAACCAAGTGAAACCAAAAGACAGTCGCATTTATTCTGGGTGCCGCCCGACTGCGGGGCTTGCGTCTTATCCACTTGGCTACGCTCTTCTTTTTGGAGGTCGGATAATGGACCTATTTATACAACAAGTCAGTAAAGCAGTGCATAATGTCTAATCTTTCGGACATTGAAGAAGATCTAAACATCAGCGAGATCGTGGCTCGGCAGCAACGACAAATGAGTGAGGCACTTAATTGCTTATTAGCCGAATTCAGCCGGCGACTTGCCGCCTCCTCCTCCGTCAACACCGCACCAATATCAAACATTGATGTAGAACCAGAGCTAGCAGTCATAAATGGCGACGATGAAGACTGGTGGACCCCTAGATCGGCGAACAACAAACGCCGTCTCGTCTCCGGATCACCGAGCTCAGCCACCAAAATTCTGAAAAATTCCAATAGCCCTAATACTTCTACCAACCAATTCGATGAACTGTCAGACATGGACACAGACATCGAAGGTCCTCAAGCAGTTAGCCCCGAAGACCCAGCAATAGCTAGTACTTCAACCGGCTTAAGGCAGGTTAACACCAACAGTAACAATACTATTAACAACGGCAGTAGTCTTACCAGCAGCTCTACCAACAATGCCGGAAGCAACAACAACAATCTCAGCCGGCCTGGGAGTCAGGAACATTTATCCACCCACAAACCACCTCCGATTGTGGTTGATAACTGTGAGAATCTGAACGGACTTATCAGATCCACAGACAAAATCGTTGACCCGACCAAATACTCCCTAAAATGTCATTCCAACAACTCTGTTTCCATCTTAGCTGCTGATTCTGATACATATAGAGCTATAACAAAATCCCTGACTCTTAAAAAAGTTCCTTTCCATTCTTGGCAGTTGAAAGAAGAAAGGTCTTATCGAGTTGTCATCCGTGGTGTCCATCATTCTGTCCCGGATGAAAACATAAAGGAAAGCCTTACATCGGCTGGTCACACGGTTCGATTTGTTAACAGGCCCAGAAGCCGCTTCGACAAAACCAAGTTCGTTAATTTAGTTTTTGTTGAACTGGAACCAGCGACAAATAACAAAGAAATCCATGATATTAAAACGCTTTGTAGGCAACGGGTTCAAATTGAACTCCCTTACAAAAAGGATGATGTTGTTCAATGCCACCGGTGTCAAGCTTTTGGACATACAAAAAATCATTGCCAAAAGCTTTTCAACTGCGTCAGATGCGGCCTGCAACACGGTGTGGAGGCCTGCTTAAAGGATATTCACCCAGTGAAGTGTGTTAACTGTGGCGGAGACCATACAGCTAGCTATAAAGGCTGCCTAGTTTATCAGCAAGTTGCTAATCGACGGAAAAGTGTCACAACTCATCGCAGCACCGTTCCCCAACAGCCAGCTCATCCAATAGTTGGGTCTAACCTTGTTACTTCAAGCTCCTACGCTAACGCAGTTCGAGGGCAAGTTAGTCGCCCCCAGCACCATGCTCCTATGAATATCCTGCATAGTCAACAATTTCCCCCATTGGGCAGCAACAATACTAAGAAAAGTCAGCTACGCCACCAAAAGGAACCCCCTCGACAGCAACACCAGCAGCAGCAGCGCCAGCAGCAGCAGCACCAGCAGCAGCAGCACCACCACCAGCAGCCGCAGCAGCAACAGCAGCAGCAGCAACAGCAACAGCAGCAGCAGCAACAGCAGCAGCACCAACAGCAGCAACAGCACCAGCCGCAGCATTCACAACAACAACAACAGCAGCAGTATTTCCCTCAACAACAGCGACGCAGCTCGCAGCAATCTTTCAACGACCATCATTGGCAGTGCCAAGAGCAAATGTTCTTGCAATCGAACGAAAGAATTTCGGTCCTTGTCGCCCAGTTTGACAAATTATTCCAAATGATGGTGTCGATGATGGGTCTTGTCTCTAGACTCCTACCACAAACTTCTCCAGGAACTGCACAAGCAGTTTCTGGATTTTTCCCAGCTAATATAGTCCAACAATGAGTCAAATTGGACTCAAAATTGGTGTGTGGAACGCCGACGGGCTGGCCAACAAAGCACTGGAGCTAGAGCTTTTTGTTCATAAACATCACATAGATATTATGTTGGTCAGCGAAACACACTTCTGCTCTCGATCATATTACAAACTACACGGTTATGACGTTCACCTATCTAACCATCCCGCCGATCGCCACCGTGGGGGCTCTGCAGTCATCATAAAGCCCTGTCTCAAACACTACCAATTTTTAACAATGGAACATCAAAGTGCTCAATGTGTCGCAGTCAAAGTCAATACGGATCAAGGTGAAATTGCTATTGCCTCTATTTATTGTCCTCCAAACTTCCAGCGCACCTATGAGGACTTTAGAACACTGTTTGAGGAACCAGGACCCAAATTTCTAATTGCCGGTGATTGGAATGCACACCATCGACTTTGGGGTTGTCGAAATTCCTCTGTTAGTGGAAGAGTATTAGCAAACTATATCCTCAGCTCTCACATTCAAGTCCTTGCAACCGGAGGTCCTACCCACTACCCGTACAGCCAGCGTACGCCTACTGAAATTGATTTTGCCATATATGGGGGATTCGCTCTGAGCTCCTATCCATCTCAGGGAGCTTGGAACTTTGTTCTGATCACATCCCCTTATTAATTGAGCTAAGAAGTGCTGCTTTCAAGGTCTCCCAAAAAACACATATTCTCCCTCGAAACGCGAACATTCCACGGTTTCAGGCAGCAATTAACCAGCTAGTAAACCTCAACATGGTCCTGAGCTCCCCTGAAGACATTGATGATGCCACTGAGATCTTTGTGCGTAACATTCACATTGCTGCCGAATCTTCAACCTGTGGACAAGGTTCAATAAACCCATCAGATCCACCTCATGCTCTTTTAAAACCTGAGGTCCTGGATTTGGTGAGGTCGAAAAGAGCCTTGCGTCGCAGATTCATGCGGTCGCAAAATCCGGCCGACAAAAGAGCATATCGTCGCGCTGAGAACGATCTAAAGAAGTTGCTGCATAAGACAAAAAATGACTATTTCTCAGATCTACTACGCAATGCAGACCCCACAAAACCGTATGGATTTAACCTCTGGAAAGCAGCAAAGTCAGTTAAACGGCAGCCCCCACGCAGAATCCCTATAAAGCGTGCTGACAACACTTGGTGCAGATCGGATGCAGATATTTCTCTGGCTTTTGCTGACGAACTAGAAGGTCGATTTCAGCCGTTTGACCTTGCTAGGAGTGAGGACGTGGGAGCAACACTGGCTTTTCTTAATACTTCTTGCCCAGATGTAGAGCCCATTCGTCATGTAAGTCCGGAAGAAGTTTGTCTCAAAATTAAAAAACTGCACGTTAGTAAAGCACCAGGATTTGACGGAATCGATAATAGAGTTGCCAAAGCTCTGCCCAAAAAGGGCATATTATTCCTTGTGCTCCTGTTCAACTCCATGTTACGTATCTACCACTTCCCCACACAATGGAAGTGCGCAGTGATATCGATGATACCTAAGCCAGGCAAACCGGAGAACCTTGTTGCTTCTTACCGGCCAATAAGCTTGCTGCCAACATTCTCTAAAATATTCGAGAGAATATTTCTTAGCAGAATGATGGCAGTAAGAAGTGTTCAGGATGCCATTCCAGATCACCAGTTTGGCTTCCGAAATCACCATGGAACGCCAGAACAGGCTCATCGAGTAACGCAGCATATCTTAGATGCTTTTGAAAACGGTCAGTACAGCTCTGCTATCTTCCTTGACGTAAAGGAAGCCTTCGATAGAGTGTGGCACAATGGATTGCTTTTTAAGCTAAAAACACTCCTGCCAGCTGCTCAATATCTCCTTCTGAAATCGTACCTGCTAGAGCGAAAATTTATGGTTGATGTGAGAGGTGAAAGATCATCCATTAGAAGCAGTCGAGCTGGAGTACCGCAAGGGTGTGTTTTGGGTCCTGTGTTATACACCCTTTACACTTCTGACTTGCCCAATCCCAGAGAACCGGGGACACTTCTTGCAACGTATGCTGATGACACAGCCTTTATCGCAAACTCAGCGTGTCGAATTGAGGCTTCTAGAAAAACGCAAAGCTTTTTGGATACATATAGCGAGTGGACGAAGAGGTGGAACATATCCATAAATGGAAATAAATCGCAACACTGCAATTTTTCCCTGAGACACAAAATCCTCCCTAGGGTCAAATTTCAGGACACGCTAATTCCTCAAACTCCTCAGGCCCAATACCTGGGATTGATCCTGGATAAGCGGCTCACGTG